ATTGCAAAGTTTCGTACCGAAAATTTTCGGTAATTACCGGTACTGATACCGAAAAATATTTTCGGTATCGGTTTTATAAAATACCATATCGAATGGTACCGATCGGAACCCTAACAACAACTACCATAATAATAAACAATATTAATTATATTTTATTATCTATATTAACAAGAGTTATATTTCTAAGATTAGCATCAATGCAAAAGTTAGACAATTGGTTATCTTTTAGTTTTAGTTTCAGTAGCTAATATTATTGTAGTCCTAGTTTATTTTTCTTTTCAATTTTTTTTGATTTCTTGTTCATTTTACATCCAATTAAAAAACTTTGAATAAGTAAGTATAGCTGCTCTTAATTATATTTAGTATATACAAAATTGTTTTAAATTCTTTTTGATATTAGCTAGATATAGATAAATAGACAAGCTAGTATTTGTTATATACTTTATACTCAAGAAATATTATTTCTTTCATTAATGTATATAACTTTAAGTATAATATCATAAATAAAAAAATGATGTTTACCTACCAATATATATATATATATAATAAAATTTGATATAGTAGATATTAGATATAGCAGAAATATATAAAAATCTCAATATAGTAGAATAGACTTAAAAACAGTTATAATAAAATAATCTTGATATAATAGATTTAATAATAAAATTTAAAAAAATTCTATTATAGTAAAATTTTCAAAATTTTTTACTAATTGTTTTAGAATTATGTTATATCAAATTTCATTGTATAAAATTATTTAAAATTTTTTAAAAGAAAAAATATAATTTTATTAAAGAATTTTTAAAAATAAAAAAATAATAACAAGAAAATCTTTTATTTAATATATTTTATTTTTTTAATTTCTTTTAATTTGTTATTAAGATTTTTATAATATAAATATTTAAGTATGAATCATATAATTAATAATTAATATAGTGGTTAATTAATTTATCAATATTTTAATTATTGTTATTAATAAATTAACTTTGTTAAAGATTTTATAAAAATAAAAGTAATAAAAGTAATAAAAATAATAAAATTTTTTGTTTAATATACTGTATTTTGGTTTTTTAATTATTTGTTACTTATTATTAAGATTTTTGTTAATATAATTATTTGAATATAGGATACATAAATAATAGTTATTATAATATATGATTTATTTATTATTATTATTGTATTGATAAAACTAGTTTAAGCAGTTATTATAAATAAAAATATTTTAAAAATATTATAGATAGGATTAAAAAAAAGTTTTTTTAATTCTTATAATAAATTATTTCTTTATATTGTATAAATTAATAAATTAATAATAATTATAATTTTTTTCAATAAAAATATTTTAGTTTTGATGATGAATTAAAAAATTATTATTATTGGAATTATTTTGTCAAAAGTAATCAATATTTATTTAATTTATAATATTTGATATATAAAGTTTATAAATATAAATATATATTTTTAATAATATTATGATTTAAAGACTTTAATTTTCTTTCACTTGTTTCTTTCTTTCTTTAAAACAAACTTTCTATGATTAATAAAAATTTTAAATTGTAATTTTTATAGAAATCAATTTACAACGTTCAACTAATTGCAATTTGTTTATTTGCATAAAATTGAATTTTTGCTGGATTTTAAAAAACATATTATCAGAATTCATCAAGTGAATTTATTCTCGTGTTCTTAGGGATACTGCATGGATTTAAAATTTCTTTTATCAATTAAATCACAATGTATCTTGTAATAACAAAAATACAGTATAAAAAATGAATATCATTGAACCTTACCAATCGTAGCTAATAATAATGACATATTTGATTAATGAATATATACGAGCGGAAAAGTTTTTAAATTATATAGGAAAGTTGAATGATACGAAAAAAACGAGCAATTTACTGTAGGGGGTCTGTAGGAGGTTTATCGGCCAAGAAAATTTTAGTGTGAAATGATTTTTGGCCGTGACAATCTTTTTTGATTAGAAACTTGGAGGTCGAGCATTTGTAAATCATCCCGGAATAAATTTGATATTTTTACAAATCAGCGAATCACAGTACTGTAAATTGTCGGTAATCCCTAATTACGTCGTTTAATCGCGTATGTTGTGTAAATAAAAGTTTCGGATCTTCGTCAGAGTTTGGTAATTGTTAAGCTACCAATTAGAGTCATTACTAAATCTAGTATGAAATTTATGTCTGTAAGTTCAAGAAAATGAGTCAATCATATATATGATATCTCCAGGTTTCATGATAGAAAAAAGTTCGTGTCAGATTCCAAACAAATACATGTAGATGTAGTTTGAAACAAAGATGGACGAGAAATAAGAAAAAAAAAACTAAGTTTAATTAAAGGAAGGGGATGTTTTCTTTTTCAAAAAAAAACAAAACAGAAATTATTGTGCATTTATTTGAACAAATTAGGAATAGCCTTCGTTTATTGTTGCTCTAAAATTGCTTTGTGTATCCCACTAGTTTACAACGCGTGCTTTGGAGTAATGAAAAAAAATTTTCCTTCAGCACATGCGCATGCCTATGTATCCAATCATGGCATTTACGTTTGCCAGATCAAATGTTACGTTATAATCCTTTTTCTCCTTGTCGTTTAGTGCTTTCATTTAAAACTCAACAACACTTTTTTAACCTCAACATAAATCTAACATTAAATTCTCAGAACATTGAAGTCTTGTAAAAATTAATTATACATACCTCTATGTGATTTATCGTTAGGCGATAACATTGTGAGCTTCCTTTGAGCTTTGTGATCTATCTTTATCATTTGTTTTTGTCCCGTGAC